AGAAATTGTGCCCTCTTTTCCCGATGTTTTGGGCTCTTGAGAGCAGAGACCCAGATAATGGAAGCTTTCCGTGTCTAGAAGGTGGTGAGATATCCATGTATAGCATGTGATCGGTATTGCATAGGATGAACAAAGTAACATAAATACTCGCCTTATTCCTCACAATCCTATCCCAGCTCGTAAATGCGAAACACCCACCATCTATAGTGTATATGTCCGTTTCTCGCAATTCCGTACCCTTCTGACGGCGTTCACGCATTAGATTTGAACATCGAGTCTTCATGTAGTATCGAGTCTTCACGTACTATGTGAAGGCTCGATGTAAGGTGAGTAATCAAAATGTACATGACCATTACATTCTATCCCAGTTCATAAAAATGAAACACATGCTGTCCGTAGCAATTCCGTCCTTTCTAGTGGTGTTCACACATTAAATTTGAATGTTGCGTCTTCACATATGTTTTGTTGTTGCCTTGTTTGTCTTCATGCATGTCGTTTCGATTTGTTGTATGTAGCAGAACGAAATCTAATACATTTTGTTAATAAAAAAATTTGTGTAACAGAAAATACAGAATTCAGTGTTGCATGAAACAAAGTTCTATTAAAATATAAGATGGGGTACATGAAGTGTACTTACTTGCTAGCCCTTCGTGGTTTTCCCTTGTTGTTGTATACATACATCGGACATGTGTATACCTCATCGTTCCAGCTGTCGCAGACGTCAACGTGTTCTGTAGATGTCCCTCATGCCATTAACCCAACATATTGTCATCGGGTATCTTGGTTAGGCTGCAAAAGTATTTCATTAGTGCTTTCATTTGTTGTCAACATCTTGACTTACAGTCTTCAGGTAGGTGTTCTATCTCGTCTTTGGAAGTGTTGTGAAACAGAGAAGTTGAATCTACGAAAATATGTTAGCGTGACAATAATCTACAGAGTCAAACTGACATACTTATCATTTGGCATCCCCCGGACTCCATTTATCCCTCCAAAACTTCAAAACATCGCTGTTGCTCATTTCCAGTGTCAAGACGATGTATCTTCATCCGCAGAACCGGCATAAGTAGTGTTTAAAGGTTCAGTTCAGTCCGGTTTTTTGCCCCGAAAACGCGCAACCGTGGACCGCAACCGGTCCAGGACCGACCCAGATATTGAGGGAACCGAACCGAACCACCTAGGACCGGTCTTTTGCGGTCCATGATACCGGTTCAGACCGATCCAGACCGGTTTTTTTGCGTATAATTTATTATACCAATATAAACCATTTGTATCTCAACTATTATTACTCTGAAAAATAAACAGGTTATATAAAATAGTAAAGCATATAAATACCCATCATTCTACCAATTTTCAAGAGATTTAATGAAGATTTGACATAGCTATGACTGAAACCGAATTACATCTCATAGAGACTTGGGTAAAATATGGATTTGGTTATATCTTTCTCAATTCTTAACCGTTTTTGATGAAACAAAAACCCAATAAAAGGCAATAAACGTGGTTACAAGGCTATGTAACGCACGTGACCGTTTAACTGGTTGCAACCGATTAAAACCGGTCTTTGAACGGTTTTAAAAGATTTTCGAAATGAGGCAACCGGCAACTGGACCAACCCCAAATTGGGGCAACTGCAACCAAAAAAAAG